TTTTAAGGAGAAATGAGAGGAGGCAGGTGGGTGTCAGCGTATGTAAAAGCTCGACATAAAATCCATTCTTTTAAATCTCATCAGGGGGAATATTCTGGTTGTGTTTTCCCCTGGAATTCATCATCTGTTGTTTTACCGAGTCACAGAGGGGTACAGGAAACACACACACAGACCCAACGACTTACAACGTGCCTCCTCTGGATTCTTCATGGAGAGATGACGCCGCGGAAGCCTAGAGATGAAAGACATCTCCCAAGTTCACGGAGATAGTTAAGAAAGGGCTAGAAGCCAGGATGTAAGTCCGGCCTTCTTGTTTTTTAGGACGGCGCTCTTTCCAAGATTCAAAGAAAGCAAAAAGCGAAACAAACAGAAAGCAGAACTTGTTCACACTGGGCGACCATCATCACTTTCAATTTGCCGCTTAAAACAAACCAACAGCCCTGGCTGGTGTGGCTCAGGGGTTGAGAATTGTCCCAGGCACCACGAGGTCAAGGTTCGATTCCCGCTCAGGACACGTGCCCGGGTTGCGGGCTCGATCCCCATTTGGGGGCGTGCAGGAGGCAGCCGATCCATGACTCTCATCATCGATGTTTCTCTCTCTCTCTCCCTCTCCTTTCCTCTCTCTGAAATCAATAAAAACGTATTTAAAAAAAAAAAAACCAGACCAACAAGCGTATGGTTGTCTAACCACTACGCTGTCCATCTGACACTAAAACTACTACAAAATCATATTGAATGGAAACTGACCGTTAACAACAACAAACTACGATCAACAACAAAAACACGTGGCAAGGTTCAAATATTTCCGTAACATCGAGATTTAAAGGTTAAAAACAATCGGCGTAGCAACACTCAGAAAAGGGGGGGGGGACAAAAAACGAGAGACCGAAAACAAAGAGGAAGCAAATATACAAATTCCCCAACAAGCTGGCTGACTGGTGACATTTGGGCCGTTTGTCCAGATGGACTGAGCAATGTCAACACCGGACGACATCCCTAGCGAAGGCCAGGACTGAGCTGGAAGTTCAGAACCCACTGGTTCCCGCGCCTTCACTGAACCCCCACATTCTTGCTACCCCGACACTGTGGGATGGGCCTGAGACTACCTAGCTGTGCGAAAGAATATCACAGAAAGCTCAGTCCTGGTTCCTCAGATGGACAGACAAGACACGTTCTTAAAAGAAAGCCTGAATAAGAAGTCTTCCCAGTACCCGAAAAAAAGAAAAAAAGCCCATTTATAAGAAATAGGGTCTTTTTTTTTCCAGAAAGGAGAAAGTATATGGAGGCCAACGGGCTCTGAAGTTCTCAGAGCTGTAGCAAGAGGGACACGGCATCTAGAAGAAGCAGATCCAGTGGACTGCGGCAGCGATAATATCAGCACCCACGGGAGACCCCATGGGAAACTCGCCAAGGCTGTACCCACGTGCAGGTCTCCGCCTTCCCCAATCCACCACTCCGCTAATTTTGCAAAAGACAAAAGTGTTGCCCACAATGAATCGTTACTAGAATAAGTGGTGGTAAGAACTAATACTTTGGCCTGTTTTTCCGTTAATGTCTGATCCCCGGCCCATAGACCCGGACTCCCCCGGGCACTGCATCTATATCCACGGGCTGCACATGATTTTCATATTCTGTTCACCTTTCAGAAATAGCTTGTGTTGGTTACACTTCTGGGGCATTAAAAAGCCCATTTACAGTCTATAAAAGTATCAGGAATTAGGTGGAAATTCGTAGGAATTCGGCTGGGAGAAGAGAAAGACTCAGCCGCATCTTAAGCACACATGGAAGATAAAGACACACGTACCCACACCCCAGTCCATTTCCTCGGCGGCGTCCCCGTAAGCGCCGTGTTTGCTTTTCCCGGCAAAATCCTTGGACGAGAAGAGGGCCGTGTGCACCTGAATACAGGAGAAGACGAGCAGAAAGGGCGTCTCGGCGTTCCTGGGAAAAAAAAAAAATCCCAACAGCGAAATAAGCCCATTTGCCACCATTCTGATGAATATCGAACTATTACTGCGCGATGCCATGGCACGGTTCAAAACACACCACGAAAGGACGCCTAAGGGTGGCCCTTTTTTTTCTTAATTCAGGGAGAGAGAAGGCCCCATAGTGCCTCACAGGGTTAGTGACTCATTGGCAGCCTCTACGGATCGGCAGATGCAAGTGCTGGGTGCGTCCTTGAGACGGTCTCCAAGGACAACACAAGACCGCGGGTCATGGCTGCTTTGCTCTTGAATTGTACCCTTCCCTGTCTCTATGGTGGTTACTATGAATTCAAACGCCTTTCAAAAGACACATGCGTGCACACATACACACACACGCATGCACACACATGCACACATGCACACGCACACACGCGCACACGCAGGGCACACACGTGCACACATGCACAAACATGCACACACACGAGCGCAGACATGCACACACGCACGCGCACATGAGCACGTGTGCACACGCACATGCACACATGCACACACGTGCACACACGCGCACACACATGTGCATGCACACACACACACGCACACATGCACACACACACTCTAGAGTCAAACGACAAAGTTACCTTTCCTCTCCTGACCTCCCATTGGATGATTAAGCTCACGGTGACACCTGAAGCCCCTCTTATCACAAGCAGGCACTTTTTTCGGCACAGTCACACACCCACGCGACGTGCACGATCCTGGCCTACCCCCCTGAGGAGAGCCCACCGCGTCACCAGGCGGCTGTCCAGCATGTGGGCGGTCCTCCTTTCCTTCCCTGACGCCCCTCCAGAGAGCCTGGCTGGGGAACTCTATTCAGCACAGAAGGGGAAACGGGGCCAGGAGGACCAGGCAGGTGTCCCACCTTCACGGAAACCACCGTGCTTCCCAGGCACCGTCGGGACGGGATGCGATACCAACCTGCGTATGAACCGGGTGGCGTCTGCGGTGAGTCTCTGCGTGAGGTTGTCGTAATTCAGGGGCTGCTGGCTGATGTCCCGGTCGATCATGAGGAAGCAGTTCAGGGGCCGGAAGAAATGCAGGAAGCACAGCAGGGCGCAGAGGATGGCGGCCGCCAGGAGGAGCAGGAACCAGAAGACGAGGTAGGGCACCTGCAGCAGCCCCAGCCACCTGAGCGCCCCCAGGGTGACCAGGGAGACGGCGATGACCTGCAGGGGAATGAAGACCAGCAGCCGGATGCCCGAGGTGAAGACACTGCCCTCCCCGGGCTTGCAGTCCCTCAGGTTGGTGACAGGGATCCCGTGGAAATAATCGAAGCCGTGCGTGGAGGGGTGGTGACAGAAGTCGCTTTTGTTGTGACAGTGGGTTCCAAGGTGCCACTTCCCTGGGAAGACAAACGGGGGGGTATGTTTAGTTCCAAAGACACCCCGACTCGAACATGAGTTTCTGCCTCCCGCACACGGAAGAGCAGGATCTTCCTGACGATTTATTAACCAAAGTCCTATTTCCCGGGACCCTACAGTTTGTTTTTAAACTTTGTCCAAAAATTAGATTTTCTT